GAGTGCTTCTGGGGTCCCGGGGAAGGCAAAAACGGGATGCGCGGAGCAGAGGTGGTATACAGCAGGTATACGCCACAATGGTTGTAAACGTGAAAAATGTTCGTAAGTCACTTTTTTCAGGGCCATTGTCACTTGCAACAGTCATTAAATGAACTACTGTTAAGTTGAGAGCTTCCTGTATTTTAAAATTGAGAATAAATTGGAGAGATATCTCATTATGACCTTTGGAAATTTGACTTGTTCTGTGACTTGCTCTTCAACCTAACACATAATTGTTAAAAATAGAAACAGAATAACAGAGTTGGAAAGGACCTTGGAGGTCTTCTAGTCCACCCCCCCCTGCTTAGGCAGGAAACCCTACTCCCCTTCAGACAAATGGCTGTCCAATCTCTTCTTAAAAATTCCCAGTGTTGGGAGCATTTACAACTTTTGGAGGCAAGTTGTTCCACTGATTCATTGTTCTAACTGTCGGGAAACATAAAGAAGGGTCCTTCTTACGTTTCTGAAAATGTATTGCTCCATAGAAAGGAAGTTCTATTAGATGCTGCCCTGGTGTTCACCCATTACTTGTAGACAGGATCTCCGCACTCTGGAGTTTTTAAGTTATGCAATCCATGCTGAAGGAATTATGGAAGTGTAGAGCTCACACAGCTTCCCTGTTCATCTTATCTGCAGTTCCCCTGCCTAATTGCGGTCATGCTTCTTCCAGCACATTCACTTCCATCATTTTAATCACTTGCATAACTGAGAAATTTCCTTACGATCTTCCAAAAGAGGTGACGAACCAGAGAAAAATTTACAGGACAGATCCTTAAATGTTGAATGCCGTAAGTTAAAAATATCTACTTCTGAGTTACATATACCACCTTAGTTAAAGAGTTGGTTCTTCTAGCATTTGGACAGCCAGATGTTGCAAAAATCTGCTTTCCTTCCACCCATCCTTACTCCTCCCACACATGGGCAAAACACCATGTCAGCTGGGAGATACATTCTCCACATCCTCCCAGTTCCTACAACTTGGTGGTGGGGTGATTTCATTCCACCTCAAATCCTACCAATTTCAAGTGCCAGAAGCACAATACTTTTCTTCTTGTGTGGTTCTGCTTTAGGAAAAATGCAGGAATGGGGGCAGGTTTCCTACCCTGCCATTAAGGACTGGAAATGTTTGTTTGTTTACTTGTGTCAGAAACACCACCATTAAAATAAGGGATTAATAAAGGAGAATATTTGTAGCTCAGGGTTGAAATGTGCTTTCTGAGCTTGCTTATTTTCTTGCAGACGTTTCATGACCCCAACTAGGTAACATCATCAGTGCTAGTAAGGAGTGGTGTTTGCTGTCAGTATAATATATCTTATTGATAATATAAGGTACACTATACAATATGAAATTTAAAGTACAAAAGACAAGATTAAAATATGGACAAGTTAAACAAATCTTGCCCAGAAACTATCAACGTTAATTGTGTTCTGTCACACTTGCAGGAAGTCCTCAGGTGTACACTGATGAGAACACAAAGGGCAGATATACAATACTGCATATGTTGCTGTCTGCATGTCACCACAATCGCAAAAGGTAGAAGCCAACAAATAGCTGTATTTGTTCAGAGTGTCTCTGGATCTTGTTGTACCCATACACAATCTAGATGATTTCCTGCTGCATCCCAGTGCAGTCTCTTTTTTGGAAACTAATACTGCCAAAGTTAGTGGGACTTCCAAACAGATTTAGCCTACAGTTGGGGAACACACAACCCAGGGTAACATGTTGCAAATTATTTTTTGTTTCCCACAGCTCCTAGCATCTTTCGCCACAAAGTTGGAGAACAATCTAAGAACGCCTGCCGAACGCAACAACCCACTATTTTTCTCAAGGGACTAAACTCCCCCCACCCCAAAAACCTGGTGCATTCATCCTCCAAGCCAGGTTACAGGGTTTAAAAACTCCCAATTTTTCCCATCTTCAGTGGGGGGAAAAAAGAGTACGGAAAAAAAAAACACCATAGTCCTGCTATAATACAACTGCTGGATTGATTTTCCTGAATATCTCTTGGCAGCTTCCAATTAGTGCTACTTATGAGACTATTCACTGCCCAATGAGGCCATCTCAAAGCGGAAAAAAACCCACAGATTTGTCACAATATTTTTAGGATAATTACTAATTCCAGCCCATTCCCAAAATAAATACAGTTACCACCACACCGGGACCATTGTAAATCAGGGTCATTGTAAAGCAACACATCATGTGACCGGACCCAACTTTTACAACCATTTTTACCATGGTTATTAATAGCAATAGCACTTAGACTTATATACCACTTTACAGTGCTTTTACAGCCCTCTCTAAGTGGTTTACAGAGTCAGCATATTGTCCCCCAACAATCTGGGTCCTCATTTTACCCACCTCGGAAGTATGGAAGGTTGAGTCAACCTTGAACCTGGTGGGATTCAAACTGCCAAACTGCAAGCAGACGGTAGTCAGCAGAAGTGGCCTGCAGTACTGCGCTCTAATCACTGTGCCACTGAGTGAATCACATGGTCCTTAAGTGGATCAAACCTCCTTGATAAACTTTTTTGTTTTGTCAGCAATTAGCTGGGAAACTTGCAAATTACAATTGGGTGACTGCAGGAAGCTGCAACCAGTTGCAAACACCAGCTGTTTGCCAAGTGCCCAAATTGCAATCATGTGACCACAGGGTGTGTGTGCCACCATTGTAAACGTGGTCACCAGAGCATCTTCCAGCTGTATGATTCTTTTTAAAACTGAGATAGAAAGACTGAAGCAAGACACGCTGATATATTCCCAGGTGCCTTGGAGAAAGTCACACAGAAGCTTAGGAATGTCCTCTTATACCAGACTACAGGACATGGAATAATGGCCTTCTATAACATAAAGGCAGATTTTGAATGAATATGAGGAGAGAAAAAAGTCTAATACTGTAATAATAGCAGTGTAACAGGTTCCAGGTACCAAGGGAAGTGATGACTTCTTCATTGGGTATATTCGGATGGCTGCCAGATGCTATATTTTAAATCTGCTACTGAGCAGAGTTGAACTCCGTGCCCTAAATAGCAAATTCTAACTCTATGAATCTATGAGGGAAGCACCCAAACATCAGAATAACAAAGTTGGAAGTGACCTTGGAGGTCTTCTAGTCCAACCCTTGCTCAAGCAAGACACCCTATCCTATTTCAGACTAATGGCTGTCCAATCTCTTCTTAAAAACCTCCAATAAGGGAGAATCCACACTTTCTAGAGGCAAGCCATTCCACTGATCAATTGTTCTAGTTGTCAAGAAACGTCTCCTTACATCTAGGTTGATTCTCTCTCTTTGGTTAGTTTCCATCCGTTGCTTCTTGTTATACCCTCACATGCTTTGGAAAATAGGTTTACCGCTTCTTCCTTGTTGCAACACCTCAAATATTGAACGGCTGCTATCATGTCACCTTAGTTCTTTTCACCAGACTAGACATACCAAATTTCTGAAACTATTTTTCATATGTTTTAGCCTCCAGGCCTCTAATCCTCCATGGGGCTCTTTTGAGAGCCCAGAAATATGGTGTGATGGCCCAGAGTGTACACAAACATAACAAAATCCAAAACGTAAATAAATGTCCTTTAATGCCTCCAGCTTGGCCCCGCTGTTCAATAATTCTCAGTTGGAGATAAGACTTATTCAAAAATAGTCTTCAAAAGAAAGCAGTACAGTCCAAACTTAATGAGCAGATAGAGGTGAAAACAAAGTACAATGAAAGAAATTCCACAACGTACCAAGGTAAGTAATTACCAACTGTAAGGAGATAACAAGGCACAGTCTGTTGGAAGGACACCAACCAAGATAACTTCAGCCCAAAATAAAACATGCTTTGCTTCTGGCAATGCTGTGTTTTAACCATCTCGCTTATATACTATTCTCCCCAGCTGCAACCATTGAGGAGGATCATGGCCGCTTCTTCTCTCGTAAGCCAAGTTGTTTCCTTCTCTGTTCCTCACTGCATGTCCTAGGATGCAGAAGGGATGGGCCTGGTTCTTCCTCTGACTGCCCAGCCAGCCTCTGCCCTTCCCCAGCCTCCTCCACAACCTCCGGAGCCACACCTCCACTCCCTGTCAGCTGTTCCTCCTCTCCCTCAGAGGCCGACTCTAACAAGGGCATGACATATTGATTGACAAATAGATTAAACACACACACACACAATTCTCCACCCACCCACCCACTCCATTTTTTAAAGACATCTCCCTTTCTTTGCGGGGGCAGGGGATGGTGGTCCTGTAACATGCTTTCATGTCATACAATTAGACAACTTCCCATACAAGAAGTACAATTCCCATTATTTCCAATCAGCTATCTTCTGATCATGCTGGCTGGAAGATGACCCCACTAAGTTGTGCAAGTTCTCTAGGCCATGAAGTTCTCTAGATTTCTCATAATTTCTAAACTTCTTGTACAGGATTTCAAAAGAACAGATAATTACCAACCCTGGAACAGCAGAAGACGACTTTATACCGAGGAGAGTTCTGGGACAGAGAATGCATTACAAGCGACCTTTGATATTCCAAAAGGGGAGTTAGCCTCTACCATTAAAACCAGTTTCAATCTTGGTTGCCCATGTCTGCTTGACTTCTTCTGTCAAGACTTTTGGGTCCAAGTGCTTGTCCCACACTGCTTACCCTTATGGCTACTTGAATCTGCTTATCAGTCCACATTCTGATGTTACAGGTCACAAGGAGCTACCAAGTGGAAACCAAACAACTTTATAAATACATCCGCAACATAAACATGAGATGATCATCTGTGGTTCATTCTATAGGAAGAGGCTCCTGCACAAACTCTGCTTTTCTCACAGCCACATCTGCCACTCACCACACAGGCACCCATAACTACGTGAAAAGACCTCATCCACAGTTATGCCTTCCTCTTTAGCCACCCTCCTCCGTTGCAAGCAACTAGAACCACATCTTTTGCAAGCACACTGGAGCCTTCATTTCTAAAAGGAAGTGTGTGGTTTGTTTAACCAGTGCTGTGCTTACAAGATAGGCTGAACTTCCCCAAAGTCTCATTTTGAGGGTCAGCTGTTGTCAGCTCTGAAGCTGAAGTTCCTTCTGAGTAGACTTCTCACACTGCGGGACAGCTGTTTCCCGGTAAAGAGAGAGAGAGAGAGAGAATAAAAAATTGAAAGGAGAAGGGCACAATGGTTGACATCTGAAGACAAGGTAAGGAACAATCTCACCCATTTCCAGGTAGAAAGATTTCCCCTCTGCTCACAACACAAAGGTCTCTGGGTTAGTCCAAGACATTGGAAAAGATTTATCTCTAAAAAGAGTTCAGGGTTTAAGTAACCATTTGCCATTTTGCAAACATTTTTGTATCTGAGGTACTTAGGTAGATGGTCCGACTCGTCAAAAGCAACCAGAGATGTGGGAATGTGCTTTGCTTCTTCATCCAAATGGGTTCCACAGATGAAGAGAACAGAATTCTGTTCCATCTCCATCGTTCCTTCTAGTCCTCACTTGTTCATAGGTTAAAGGAAAAAGGATGACAACACTAGACAGCAGAAAAGGAAGGCAGCTACCTACATGCCTCTTTTCATTGTGGACACAAAGAGATGCTACCTCCAGATCCTTGCCTACATTGACACATCAACTACGGGAAGGCCACAGAAGCTTCCTGGACCACCTGTTCCTCTTCTGACTGCTAGGATCTGTTTACCCACCCTCCTGGATCAAACAGGCAGCATCCACAGAGGAGACATCAAGCACAGAATTGTTACCTTGCTTGGTGTTCTCCCATTGGAAGATGATTAGATTGGAGTCAGAGGACAAGAGCTCTGTAGTGTGGAAGATCCCCTCAGGAAACTTCACTTGGAAGAGGAGCATTGTCTTTGTAGACAAAGTCAAGAAAGAAGCAGTGATAGAAATAGTAAAGAGAAAACGAAGAAACTTTGGTTATAGTATTCAATTAGAGAAATGGGAAACATTGTGGACTAAAAATTACAAATTAACGACGTCCGCTGCCAATAAAGAAAATCTTCATGTTTTACTGTTGGCATCTAGCACCAGCAAGATTGGCAAAAAATTACCCAAATTTGACTCCAAAATGCTGGAAATGTATGCACAAACAAGGTACCTTCTTTCATATGTGGTGGTCATGCCCCAAAGCAAGAAAATATTGGAATAAAATAAGGAATTGATTGCAGGAAATTATTGATGTCCGAACTGAGCTTAAACCTGAAATGTTTCTATTAGGGATAATTAGAGGAGTATTTGTCAAAGGAGCTAAATATATTATAATACATATATTGACAGCGACAAGAATCGCCTATGCACAGAATTGGAAACTAGATAGTACCTCCTCCGAAAGTATGATAATAAAGAAAGTAATGGATTGTGCAGAGAGGGTCAAACTTACATTGGAATTGCAAGATAGAGAAGATATGGAATACTATACGGTCTGGGAAAAGTGGTATCATTGGTTAGAAACTAGAAACAAAAATTAATGTAAATATGTATGTTGACCGAATTGGAAATGTCGATGTCACAGTGCTGAGAAGATTGTATATGGTTTTTTTAAAATGTGGAAAAGTACAATAAAAATTATTATTAAAAAAAAGAAATAGTAAAGAGAAGATGGACTTGCTTGGAGGAAGGAAGACTATGTTGAATAACAGGATAACAAAGTTGGAAGGGACCTTGGAGGTCTTCTAGTCCAACCCACTGCTCAGGCAGGAAACCTTATAACATTTCAGACAAATGGTTGTCCAATCTCTTCTTAAAACCCTCCCGTGTTGGAATACCCACAACTTCTGGAACCAAGGCAACTTTCAAAGGCCTACCCAAATATGCTGTAGATAGTTGACCTCTATGTCAACTGAGAACCAGCTTGGTCAAATGGTCAAGACATCAGGTTAGAAATTGTGCCTTCTAGTGCCTTCTAGTTCTTTTACAAGCATAAAGTCAGCTGGTTTGACCTTGGGCCAGCCACTTTCTCTCAGCCCTAGGAAGGAGGGAATGGCAAACCACTTCTGAAACCTGGCCAAGAAACTGCAAGGAATTGTTTGGGAAGTCACCAGAGGTCCTCAGTGATTTGAAGGCATCTCCAAAAGAAATGTTTATTAGGTTTGGACTGGATGGAAAATTTCATGCATAATTTGTCTCTAACTCAGGGCAGAAAATATTGGGGGTGGAACGGCTTCTATTTCAGAGGCAGAAAGCTAAGACAAACACCCACTCACCCTTCGTATTACCTTTTATCAATTTTTAAAATTATCTCATGGGGGAAAAAAACCCAGCCCCTGTCAAACCTACTTCTCAGAAGCAAAATCAGGGTGAAATTTGCAGACATCATGAACCTCCAAATTCTCTTTTGAATTGCCTTCCACACTGTCTTCGGGGCTACTTCGGTGGGAATTCACTGACATTGTGGGAAAAATGAGCCCAAATGTATTACCGATCTGATGTTAGAATTGATTCATATGTAGTTTAACACCTATCGGTCTGAAGGAGCCGGAAAACACACCCAAATAGAAAAGTGAGTGTGTTCATTTCCGTTTCAAAGCTAAATTAAGAAACGCTTCAATAAATCTGTAAAACCAAATAAACACACACCTCTGTTAGCAAGTATCCATCCAGGATTCCAGACCGAAAGACTTTAGAGACAATTTCATTCCACAGTCTTGACTTTTAGAGTTTTTCTTTTTCTTTTTTTTTGTCCTCCCTCCTATTTCCACAAGAAAAGGAGGTCAATATTAAACCTTGGTGTTTTTTTTTCCTTTACTGCAACATACTTTGGATTAACCCTGCACAGACTTTTAAAAGAAATATTAAATGGAAAGAGAAGAGATGGAGAAGACAAACTAAGTGAGCTTATTCATTTAGAAATACAGCTGTTCTTGGGAACTCTTTGCCATTTTAAAATATATGGAATTGGACAAAGGTTTGATTTGTGTTGAAAGCTCCTGCAGGATTCTAGGCACTTGATCTATTTCATGGATTTCTCGGAGATCATAGAATTCTAGAGTTGGAAGAAGACCATTTGGATGATCAAGTTTAATTCCCTGCTTAGTATAGAACTCCAGATTAAAGCATCTCCTATAAATACTTTAAAAGTCCTGGCTCAAAAACAGCAAAGATGATCTCATTTATTCCTTAAATGGTTGATTTCCACCTGCTCTTATTTAGATTTTCCCCTCTATCATTTCATCAGAATTCTTCCTGTATCAAGACCAATATTTCCTCTCCTTCAAACTGGAAAAATAGAGCATAGACGTTGTTGTTGTTGTTTTAGGTCTCCCTCAAGATATATCTCTTCTAGGTGTATTATACAGGTGTCTTATAGTTGTGAAGGGGCTCTTGGTCAAAACAGATTTTTTACAAAAGTTGGCATATGGAAAATGCATTCATGATTATTCAGGTTGTTGTTAATATCACAATTGAGAGCCAGTTGGTGTAGTAGTTAAGGTATCAGGTAGAAATGGGAGAACTTGGGTTCTATTTTCACTTTGGACACAAGGTTAGCCAGGTGATCTTGTACCAGTCACTCTCCCTTGGTCCTAAGAAAGAAGTAGTGGCAAACTATTTCTGAAAAGCCTTGCCAAAAAAACAGCAGTCTCTGACAATCAGACATGATTGAACAGAAGAAAAAAGAAACATTATAATTGTTTTGTAAATTTGAACACTCCAGTGTCTACATATGTATAGAATAGAATAGAATAGAATAGAATAGAATAGAATAGAATAGAATA